GCTTCGAATTCTGCGCGCTAACTTTCAGCCGCTGTCGTCTGTGCTGTCGACAGATCTGGCGGTTCCGTGTGCTTGGCGTGCCCCCCGCGTCTGTCGGCCTCGGCATGTCGTCTTCGTTGGCGCAGCGATTGCACGCGCTGCTGACAAGCTTGTCCACCTGGACCTCGACAGCATCGGCGAAGACGACATGTTGATACTGATTCACCATTCAAACCCAAGTGGCCGGCACCGAGATCTTCCACCCCACAACCCAGAAACTCGCCGAGTATGTCATTCAGAGCGTGTCGTCATCATGAAGAAAGACACGGACGCTTTGTGCCGATTCCTCTTGTCCCGGAAGCACCTCGTCATGCAGTTCCTGCCGCATCCAGAGCTGAATCTCCACGCAGAGTTGTTTCCGTGGACTGTCGAGGATGTCCAGTCGTCGTTGTTGGACTTGAAAAGCCCATCACAAGTGACCAAGTGCTGGCAGTGCTCGGGTGCATACGTGGCAGCTCCCCCGAGCAGCTGGTCGTGCTGTACGAAGCGTGGCACTTGTACTACCGAGACAACCACTGCCAGCTGTCGGCGGCGACGTTCAGCTGTGGCACGCGCTCGTGCATCACGTCCCGACCACTGCCATCGCCGTCGTCGAATTGTCGCCCCGCCCACAAGAGTCGAGTCTGGTCCAACAGGTGGCGCTGCTGCAAAATCAAGTGTTGTGCAGCATGCCCCGCGACGGTACTTTAAGGTCGTGAACTGCCCCATTGGCGTCCGATCCAGTCCAAATGTCAAAGCATCGAAACTAGGCCGGACACTAAACATCGGTCAAGTGATCGAGTCCAGCCATGTGCTTCGAAAGCCAGACGACGCGGTGCTTTATGTAGCCCACGGGGATGGCTGGGTATTTGACGTGGATCCAAGCGATGGCATGGTGTTGTTGGAAGAACAAGGTAGAGTGAGAATATCTATCTATCCGAAACCAATGATAATATATATATATAGATAATATCATTTGAGTTGTACCATGAATGACCGCATCATATTGTAGTGTTGGCAAGGGACGCTATACCTGCCCATCCCCCTTCTTTGTATTATTCGTTGAGCGCGACATTGCAAGAGATGGTGCAAGCCAAGGAATCGACGTCTACGAAAGGCTGGCTCGAGTTTGGCTCGGTGGGAGAAGGCTGTACCGTGGACACCCCGAATATCGTCACATGTGAAAGCGATGGCCAATGGACCACTGCGCTGGGCAACAAATCCATCAAACAAGGTATTTTTTGTCCTTTTACTAAAAAATGTGGCTGACTTTTGTGCTGAGTCGCCAAATCTATCGATAGATTCTTTGTTACTGAATTTTGTACCTAGTACGTTGTCCGGTGGTGATTGTAATCACACTAATTCAGGTGTCACACTAATTAGGTTCTGATGATTGTTGTTTCCTGCAATTTAATGGACTAAATATGGCTGCCGATTCTTCTGTGTCGTCGATTCATTCTCCATGTCGCTCCAGTTTAGAATTAACACAATATATATATATATATATATGTATTTACAGTACAGTAAACTATATTCTATCGACGCTCACTAGTACGTTGGTGTAGGTTCTGGCATATACACGTGGCGCATCCAAGTTATCAAGTGCGCCAACGTGGGGCAGATCCTCTTGGGGCTAAGTACCAAACCATCGTGTACTGCATTGACTGCGCTTTGCATCGGGACGACCGTCGACAGCTTTGGGTGGATGCTCACTGGGGACTTTTACCACTGCGGCCAGCGATCCCAGCACACCTCGACATTGCCTCTATTTAGCTCCAAGAGCATTCCATTATTGGACTTGATTGTCAACACCACAGCCAACACCCTCGTAGTGTGCAATGCCGACACGGGGGAGCCATACGGGCCAGCGTACGCGCTCGAGCTGGCGGCGGGGGCCGAGTACTTTCCCGCGGTGAGTCTGTTTCGACGGCACGATTGCGTAGCGTGGAAGAGTGCGATTTTGTTTCCGTCCGAGTGGAGTCTGACACAGCAGAAGCAGCGGTACGTCGTGCCGGCGGTGGTGCCAACGTCGATGGCGCTGTCATGTGCGAAGGAGGTGCTGGGCGTGTTTCGAGAGGCCACGCACCACGACAACAACGACGCCGTGAGGATGCGGTGGCTGGGACCGATGGTGGCGCAGTTCGAACATGTGCCTGTGGACAAGTATGCTAGACGAACGCGACTACTTGATCGATTTGATCGAAGACATCTTGCTCCATCGACAGTCGATGGTGGTAACGACCGATGACATGCTGACATTGGCATGTCTTGCGGGGCAGTTGTACGGGGATTCATGATTGTCGGCGAGGACGTCGACGCTTTGACTGTAACCGAAGCTGGCCCTGAACACAAGTGGATCCAGTCCAAGCTCTTTCACGGCGGTGTACACAAACGAACAGAGAAACACGCCTTCCTCAAGCAATTCATGGACGGACATTGGTCGAGCTTGGACAAGATGATGCTGCGATTTGTGGGCGGGAGTGCGCTGGTGCTACGGATGGGCGGGCCCGCCCTCGACCGCGCCATTCGGGGCGTGGTTGCCACCATGTTGCTGCACTGCGGCATGACTGTTTCTGCCGAATGCGTCGACGTGGACAGCTTGAAAATGCCGCCCAAATCGCTCCGGTTGATCTGGCAAAAGGCCGTCGAGCTCAAATCGTGGGCGCTACGGTACAAAACGTCGGCCAACACCACATACGACGAGATTGCGACGATGCTGACGACCAAAGTCGACCTGTTGCTGTCGTTGACGCCTTGTAAGTCCGACGCATACGTCGGCGACCCGCCGTCGCTGTCTCGACGCATTTCCATGGGATCTTCCAAGCGCAGCGGGTCGTTCGATGCAACGCCCGAAGACGCTGCCTTTCCAAGCTGGGAACCAGAGCTCCTGCAAGCCATCTACAACTTCTACCGAGACGTGGATTGCAATGTGAACAAGGTCCAGGAAATGCTCAGCCTGTCGCAGCAAAAAGCAATCACGCGGGCGTCGGGATTACGACGAGTAACCAATGTACTCCATGTGGCCACGGTAGCAGTGCCAGCAAAAGCCGCGATCTTGGTGCATCTCATGCGCGTACTTCGCCGCAATCCGTCGTCTTTGTGGCACTACCAACAAGGCATCGACGGATGTCCAGCCGCCACCAAGCGCGACGTGCACGTGGCGTTTGAAGGGTTTTACTATTGCATCACCCAGTTGCTAAGCAACGGATGGAACGACGTGAGCTGGCAGTTTGTGCTGTTGGATACGTCGGCGCTGCGGATCCTCCCGGAAGACCACGCCATGCTCGCCAGTTGTCGGGTGTTTCAAACGCTGCAAGAGATTCTGGATCGAACGACCGAGAGCCAATCGTTGCTGGGGTTGCGGCAATCTGCGATGAAGGTCGTGTACCTCCTCGCCCTGCAAGTCGCGAGCGATGGCGGCGCCGAGCTAGATCCAACCACCAACCCAACAATCAACTCGCTCAGTCCACCGCATTTCCAGCGCCAACTGTCTGGCCCCCAAACCCTCAGCGCCAACGTGTTTGACATGTTGTACTCGGAGATGTACGTGGTCGTCCATAGCATGCTGGAAGACACCGGCATGGTTTACAACATGGACACGATTGGCCCCAACCCGCGCATTCTGGGCGTGCTGTCCCTGCTCCAGTTTGTCTCGACGTCGTCGGTATGCCAAACCTTTCTCTGCACGCCCAACTGGCTATCGCTGTTTGTGACCACGGCATGCTTTGGCCAAGTGGAGCCGCAGACGCGCGCGATGCAGCTCCTCCACACGTTGCTTCCCCTTTGCGACCCTAGCTTCGTCGCCATCGACCTTCCATTCGACCTGACCACGATGGCATGTGTCGTCGGGACGTCAGTCCGTGCCCGCCCCCTCGTCGAGTTTTTTCTGGCCAACGTCGGACGTGCTCTAAGTCCTCTGGACGCTACAACCACGGACCAGTTGCCTCGATCTGTCGAATCGTGTCTGTCATTGGGATCTGAGAGCGTGTCCATGCTTCGAATGCTTATCGGGAACGATACCTGGTCGGAGCTTGTCGCTCAATGCTTGACTGATAGCTACAGCTCCCAAGCTGCGAGCCACCAGTTGGGTGTGCTGGGTGTGATGGGGTCGTTCGCGGAGCCGCTTCGATTTGGCGGACACGTTGAGCTCGTGGATTGCGGCACACAAGCGACCATTGTGAGCGTCAACAACCAAACGACAATCGAGATTCAGAAACGGAACCAAACGTCCATCTGCCAAGTCCAAGTGGAGGCCGTGACGGCGGTGCCCCGTGTGGCGATTTCCATCGCCGCATATCCACCGGCGTTGGTCGAGTCCGTCTTACGACAGACGGCGCTGCTCGTGGACTCGTCGGCGTTGTTTCTTGCGCATTTTCAAGTGGCGCGATGGATCTACAACGAAGAACCGGCCCGCGTGGTGATGTTGGTGTCGGAGCATCCGTCGGTGGCGCTCAAGGTGTTTGAAATCGGCGCCACACTCACCGACACGAACGGGTTGCCGAGCTTAGCGCAGTTGGAAGACAAGTTGGAGCTCATTCGGCGGGCGCAGTATGCCACGACCTATGGCAGCATCCGCACCGCGCTGTATCCAGTGTCGGAAGCCAATGCGCCACTGCACCAACCACCGGACGTGAGTATTCACTTGTCCTGCGATACAAGGCTAGGGTTCGCCGAAGGACTGGTGTGCACGATGAAGCAAGTGTCGACGTTTGATGTGCCCGTGGACATTGACCCAAACGCTATCGCATGGCTCGAGGCGCTGCTGAATCATGTATTGTCGCTCACGGTCGCAGAGTTGATGCAAACGTGGGCCACCGCGACCGATCTGACTCGAATCGAGCTGCGCCATGTCCAACAAGCTGTGGAAACGGTTTACGGTCGGATTCAGCTGCCAGAAATGCTCCAGGCAGCCTGTGCCGAGGCCAACGAGTGGCTATCGAACCGGGATCATTGGGGAAAGGAATGGACTGTGCATGAAACGAGCATCGTGCAGTACGTGTTGCGGCTCCTGGCACAGTACGTACAGATGATCGGACGTGGTTTTATATTTGTAGTATCCTCTTACATGTATTCGTGTAGGAACAACTCGAGTGTATCGATGTACAAGTGGAGGGACAAGTGCGCCGCGCTCAAAGTTGGCTCGTACTTGTGTGCTACATGCGAATGTTTGGTGGCCGATGTGCTGAGTTTGTCGATGGAAGTGCTGCGGAATGCCGAAGCCACGACGCCCGTCATCACGTTGGCGTCGATTCTCGAAGCGATGCAAGGGGACGACGAGCTCGGGCGACTGCTCGTGTACCACGAATCGTACGTGGCATTGCAATCCATTGCCACCAACTTCCCCACCCTTGCTACATCATCCTCCCCAGTCGTCGCTTCCAAAACGAGCGACGAGAAAGTTCTGGACGTGCGCATTCAATCGATGATTGCCATGGGGTTTCCTGAACAATGGTGCAAGCGTGCGCTGGACGAATCTGGGCAAGACGTGAACGCCGCCTTGAATTGGATCTTGATCAACGGGGAGTTGCTGCAAGACACTTCAGCGGCACAACCATTCCCAACGTCCAACGACAACTCCCCCGAGCCCGACGTCGCCGTTGTCGTGGATGACCCGCCGCCGCCGCCATCCCTTGAGTGGAGTACTGCCACGTCACTGGACGTTGCCGGAGCGTACGCCACGTATTGGAAGCTAGGACATGGCAACACGCTCGCGTTTACCATCCAAAGTCGCACGGGTACGGCGCTGGTCGGGTTGTTTTGTAGCCGGGTCTTGCACTATGAGCTTCGCATATCGGACAAGGCCATCGACTTGAGCTTCGACGGCCACGTGGTGTGCACCGAACTCGGTGCGTTCTGCGACGATGTGACGGGCGTGTCGTTTTGGGCGGTGTGGACGCCGACGACGCTTTACATCGGCCAAGGGCCGAGGGTTCACTTGGATGCGCTTGTCTTGCAATGGACGAGGACGGACAACGCCTTGGCTTTGGATAGCTTTTCATTTGGCTCTACCCCGTCCACCATGATTCTTGCCGTGTCGGCCATATCGTGGACCCACGTATTTGCTAGTGATCGTAGCCTCACAGCAGCACCCATCGACACTGTGGTTTGGCCCACATACACTCCGGCCACGCACGACTTGACGGCCTGTTTTTACGACAGACCATCATTATCATTCCAACGAACGAACGACCAGTTCAACGTATGGGGTCTGTACCTCACTCGTCAAGGGTTTCAGGACGCCATGCACCAAGAAAGCGCCCCCGCTTTGGTCCAACACGCCCATGAGATGATTCAAGTGCTTCGGATTCTATACGCTCGTCGCCTAGGCCTGACCATCTTGGCCGTGTGCAACCAGCTGTCGGCACTCGAGCCCGTCTTTCGTAACCACGAGGCACTGTTTGTCGAGTTCGTGAGCTTAGTGTCGAACCGGCACTGGATCAGCGATATGACGAAAATAACTACCCAAACGCAGGTAGGACCGCCGTGGTACTTGCCGCGCAAGCAAACGTCTCTGGACTTTGTTCGCCCCGCCATGCAAAGTGTGTGCGCATGTTTGAACCCGCTGAGCACGGCCGTGTGTGCGTATTTGCAGTCGCATATGTCGGCGTTCCTGCTTCAGCCGGCGTCGCTGCACTGGACAGAGCCGTCCAGCCTCAAGACCGACGTGGCTGTCCGCCAAGGCTCGGACTTGCGATTCCTGCTCTTGGTCACGCAGTGGCTTCTGCCCGTGTCGAATAATGTGATGGAACGCGCGTTGTTTGGCATTTGGGCGACGAGTTTGACCAGCAACCATGTCCATGTCAAGCAAACGGCGTTCCAAGTGCTTAGCCGCATGCTGCATCAGTGCTTGACACGAGTCAACGAGTCCACAACCGACAAAAACGACTACGTTGAGTCGTTGTACTCGTACACGAAACTAGTGTCGTATCCCCATCTCAAAACGCTCACGGCGCGGCTGTTGCAACACGAACAAGAAAACTGTCCCATGTATTCGCAGTACTTTCAAGCGGTCGTCGACTTTTTGGCCTTGTACGAACGTGCGTTGCATCGCCTCGATCAACAAGCTTCGACAGAAACCGCTCCATCAAGTACACGAGGTCTCTTTTTCAAGGGCGGGGCCAGCTACGTCGACATCAAGGGCGACGACATTTCTCCTCCTTGGACAGCTCAATACACTGTCCATCCTGTGGCGGGGGGGGCGGTGGCTGTGCTCGCCAACTCGACGTCCACAGCGATCCTCTTGCGGTGTGGCCAGTCGTTCAATGCTGGTCATCCGAGTCTGGCCTTGAAAACCAAGGCCAATGCACAAGTAGTCCCGTTTCACTGCCATCTTCCAAACGACACGTGGTCGGTGTTGACCATCACAGCGTCGTTGTCCCACGTGTCGGTGTATATCAACGGCACCTTGGCGGCGAAAGCGGACGTGTCGGACGTGCGCTTGCCGATGGGCCAGCTCGGCGACCCCTCGCAAGGCTTTCGGGGATGGTTGGCCAATGTCCGATACTTCGACTCGATATTGACCTCGTCTCAGATCACCTCCCTCGTCGCCCTTGACCGACTGCAATTCGAGCAACCAAGTAATGCAGCATCCGCACTTTTAACACCACCCCCCCCCCTCGACAGCGTGTTCCCAGCGTTAACTGCGATCGCCCACTGGCCGCTCAACGAAGGCGTTGGCGCTGTTGTTCACGACGCGCTTCGAAAGTACGCCGATGTGACGGTTCACGGCTCCAAATGGTCTCGGCTGGAGCTGCCGTCTGTAGACAAGGTGCTACTGGCTACCTCTCATATAGCTATGGCTCTGGATGCCGAGTACCTGCAGAAGTACCTTGTGTTCTCCGGCACGGGGACGTTTACCCAGCAACCGTGTGGGGCATTGGGGGGAGGGACGTGGAATGCCTCGTCTACGAAAGCGCTGGCCGTGCACTTGTACTCGCTCGATCAAAGATCGAATCTGGAAGGCATGATCGTGTTGAACTCGACGTTGCGGTGGCTGGTCACTGGTACCACTCGGGAAGATGGGTTTGTTGAGTTCTCAGTCCAAAGTCGTCGGGGGAATGGCGAGACCGTCGACGATACCCAGTGGATGGACGGCGTGGTGTTCCAGGGGTGGCATCGTCACGGCGTACTCAAAGGCACATGGCGCACGTCGCTGACTCAAACCATCCCGCCGCGGCACGACTGCGCCATGTACTTCTTGGCTCCAACGACAGACAGCGTCGTGCTGAGCGACGGCGGCCGGATGGCGTTGAGTGTGTTGCGAAAAGGCAAGAAGAAGGCGAATGTGTTGTACATGGGCTTTGGCTACCATGGGTTGCAGCAGGCGTGGGCATCGAACGGCTGCCTGTGCACATCCGATTTGCCCAACGCCGCGCAACATGACATTCTCAACCGCACGGATGGATTCGCCACCGTTCGGTGCCATGCGCTGGTCCGACGGGGTCAAGTGTACTTTGAAATGACGCTCAAGAGTAGCGGGTTGATGCAGCTAGGGTTTGTCAGCGCCGGCTTCAAGCCCGCGTTTGCCACCCATGGCGTCGGCGATCACTTTGGCTCGTTTGCAGTCGACGGCAAGCGGCGGAAAAAATGGTGCAACACTGGCTCTTCATATGGCGGCGACTGGTCGTGGAGTGCCGGGGACGTTGTAGGCGCGATGATCGACTTTGAAGCTGGCACGATGGGATTTACACACCATGGAGTGGACCTGGGGGTGGCATTTACCCAAAACGAGTACCCCCAGGTGAACTGGACCAACGGGTTGTACCCAGCGGGCAGTTTTTCCAGTGGCGAAGGCGCGTGGTTTAACCTTGGTCAGTCGCCGTTCCAATATCAACCGCCGTGGGGGTATATCAGCGTGCTAGAGTCGGTGAATGCGACGTCGTCGTCGAAGAACGAAGCAGTGCCGTTGCCCCGAGTCGACGTGTACTCGCACCGCCAGAAACGATTCAGTCCGATTTCGACTGGCCATCGCGTGACCGAGATCCTGTCGTGCCCGTTCCCGACCCATCGCAGCCTTTCGTACGGTGTGTACCATTGGGAAG